ATTGTCTAAAAATAAATAGGTCAAAAGCGTGATTTGACCAAAAACTACATTTCCCACAATGCATGTTGATTATGTTACTCGCGAAGTGACGGCTTCCCGCCACTAGACGGCAGTGTTTCCACATCATTAACATGATGAATATTTTTAACATATTTAACATTAAGGAGTAGTTACATTTATTTTACATTACATTTGGTTACATTTAGTTACATTTATAAGTTACATCTGGCCCTTTGAGGGCAGCCATTATGCTGATGTGGCCCTTGGTGAAAATGAGTTTGACACCCCTGGTATACAGGATGGTGTGTCAGTCAGAACACAGGAATGAACTGCACTGTTTCCCAACAGGATTTACTGAAGAACTCTAACATTCAGTATTGTCATCAGTCTGGATTAACATATAAATCACCATTAGGTACTGGCGGTTGACAACAAGTTATAATAATCTACTGTAAGGCCTAAATAAAAATGCCTGTATACATATACAGTATATCAAATTAACCAACTAAAACTTTTTCAAAGATAAATGTATCTATAAGCATTAAATAATTATTTAACAGAACAGTGACCTGAAGTTACATACAGATGAGAATATTACACTTCAGAGAAATAAAAAAACTTTATCTATTAACAAAGTAACAAGGGACAATGGCAACACCCTGTGGTTAAATGAGGGTACTATAATGGTGTCACACATAACAGACATTTGTCCTCACAGGGAGCAGCTATTAGTCTCAGTTTTCACAACAGCGTAAACGGTACTTCTTTGTCTTAAACGTATGCCAAATAACAGTCACTAACGTCATATTTCCTCCTGTCAATTACAGTCTATGCTTTGCAGCACTACTGGGATATCTCTTAGCACATTGCGCACTTACGTGTTCTTACACTTAGAAAATACGAACATAACAACAAAGCAACAGGCACTTGCGTTCCATCATTGACTCAATGGATTACACAGGAAGGATGTTAACTGTCATCGGTAAGTGACTCCAAACCACGAGGCAAGGCAGGCTAAACTGTTATACTCACTCACTTTCCACACAACGAAAGGCTAACTTTTAATACGTCATCTATGCCCGGCACATGTCAGTAGTAATCATCATTAATCATTTCTAAGAGTCTAAGCCTTTTATACAGCAGGTGTAGTTTGGTAGAGAGAAATTAGTTCCTAAATGATGTCTGTGGATTATCTTGAGTAACTGGGTCATGATTTCTGGAAAGAGAGATTGATGTTGAATTTTTTAATTGTAATTTTTGGCGCTTTAAGCACCACAAGCCAGTGCCATCAAGTTCCATTATATTGGAGATAATCTCTACGGCCGATATCTCCAACTCTCGGCAACTCACATCAAAACAATCTAGACTGATAAATAGCACTACAATATGTATTTTTGATTTTGGAGTGAACTGTTCCTTTAACACTCAACTTCTATTTTCTTTTGTTTCCAGGGGTCATCATGGTGTTCTGCTCTTCCTTCCCCCCTGCATGCGTGTACTACCTGCTGTGGTCAGTCTCCTACATTTTATTCCCAACATCCCTTTGGAGCAGTAAAGTGTAAAATGGGCGCTGGCCGTGCCCCAAAACTCCCAAATAGTTTACCTCTGACCCATCCGGGTGAACTGAGGCTTCCAGACTGCTGCTGCTTCCTTCTGTCATGAGGATCCAAGCTGAACATGCTCATGCTCCACAGGCGAACACTGGCTCTATTTGACCTTTATTTTAACGTGACACCTCTGAGACAGAACCCACACTGAAGACAGTTAGAGTGAGGGAGGGGAAGGACATTTTAATGTTACTAGTAATGATTAACCTTCATGCCGTTTTATGTAATTGTTGCATTTTTACTGAAGCCGGAGGTCGAATGGCTTGTTCCACAAACTCAATTTTCATCAGGTTTATCTCCTATGTAATCTCCCTACTTCGGTATTAATCCAATCTTTCATTGATGTTGTGAGCACGCAGCAGCAGGTCAGATCATTTTCTCACAGGATAATACGAAAAGAAATTTCAAATTAAATAATGACATCGATCTCATATATTTTGGCTTCTAATTTGGTTTTTAGAATGTTTAATTTTGTAATCTCACAGGAGATCACTTATTCTGATGTCCACAGTGTTAAGCAGTAATTAGTGTTCGAGTGCTCCAGTATTAAGGGAAAGCATTTAATCTATTCTATACAAGATTTCCAGTGTCTTTTCTGGTTAATCTAGAACACAGTATTGAGCATTCATACGGCACTATGATCAGTCTTGTGTTAACGACTAATGTTTGCATCAGGGTCGGGGTCACTTCACTTTCATTCAGGTCAGGATGTTTCTTTCAAATCCACCTCTCCTCTAAGAACCTTTCAAACATGATGGTGCAGTCATTCCTATGATTAGAGTAGCTGTTTGGATGTATGTTTTTAATAAGTTCACTTGAAAGTCAACTGACCCTGACTCTGGCCTGTGTGAATTTAGTTTTTCAGACTTTTAGCTTTTTGCCAATTTGTGGCTCTGTCCGAGAAACAATGCGTTAGATTTCCATATTACTTCTGTGTCATTTTATTCAGTCATTGTATGTATTTGCCTCTGTTTTAAGAGGCATTGTAGTTTAAATTCACACTGAATCACATCTCGTAGTACTCCTCTGACTAAGGCTGAAGCAGTGACATCAGTGCTGCAGGCGGAGTCAGGAACACGAGTGGACGTTGCAACCCGTAAATGGCACCGCAGCAGCAGTTTTCTGCCTCGTGATTCAGTGTGAATTTGCCCTCAAAGAGCGACAACACACAGGCTGCAAATCCTGCTTTTCCTGCCACCTAGTGGGGAAGAAATCACCTCACTGTAAGCTCTGCCTGGTGTTGTAACATTGCACTACAGTTGATGTTGGCTGTGCTCACAAATGCACCGGACCAGTAGTGATAGAGCTGCGGTGAAACTTTAAAAACTCACAAGGAAGGAGAGTTTAAGTGTGTTGCTAATCTTTAACTTGGCCAATATTCAGTTTGAGGGACATCATTTTTTTTTGTAGACGGGTCCTTTTTCACTCACAGTTTTAGTTCAGTGATTTTAATGATTTGAACCCTCTCATAAGCAATAACTCATAGTGTTAGCAATTTATCTAAATCAGCCTCCCTGATAGAGTATTTCTAGGGAAAACTAAAACAGTATTTTATAAATCAAGAAAATTAATACAAAAGGTTCATTTCTTCTGGTTCTGATATCGATCTAAACTCACTGTGGTTCTTGGCATGGCTCTAATGACTAATCTGATTAGAATCTACAGTGTTAGGTGCATACACAGCCTGAACACAAATCTACTCTAGTACATTCAGCTTTCCTGTGTGGGTGCTTTGGTTTTCAAACTGTGAAGTCACAGTAATGTATGCATCCCAAGAGCATTACAGATACAAACACTGTACTTTGCCCAATGATTAAAGAAAATCTTAATGAATAATAAGATCTGTACTTTTACATTTACTGTCTGTATATTTTTGGCAATAAATAAGTAATAAAGAAACGACTTGTTTTCAGTGTCATTAATTCATCACAGTAATGTTTTACTGTAAAACTGTTTATATATATATATATATATATACATATATGGGACAACGGGGTTGTACTGAAATTTTCAGAATTGGGGTCAGAGGTCACCTACAGGGTCATTTCAGGAGTAAGAGTAATCCCAACGTTAGATACGTATACGGACATGAATGGAGCCTTCTTGTTGCATCCAACATTCATTTCATTCATATTTGTGCATGTTTTCTTATAATTTACAGATACGGACAAAACAAAGCGACACCACTGTCATCATGGGGGCATTGTAGTGTAGTTCAAGTGAGATACAACCATAGGTGTCACAGTGGGCACTGTCGACCTGCCATACATGCCACTTTCTCAGTTAACCCAGTAAATTTCCACTAACCCTGCCTCTCCACCACACCCACCTCATCAAGCCAACTGCTCTCACCTGTGGATCATTACCTCTGCCAGTATAAAGACTCCTGCTTCACAGACTCTCCTTGCCAGATTGTTCTTTGTCAGTCAGTGCAAGACTTTCCAGCAAGTGTTCTCAGACTGCTTTGTTGTTGCTGACCTTGCCTGTTTCTGACTCTCCTACTTCGCCTGCTCCCCGGTAAACCACTCAGACTTCTGTCCCTGACCAAGAATTCTGCTTCCATGTTCCTGGTTTCTGTTCGCCTGGTTCCTGTTGCTGTGTGGCTGTCTGTCGATTCTACGTTGTGAGTTTACCTGTTATGCTGCCTGAGATTTCCTGTGCTATGGATTACTTCTCCAAGGGGCTGGACATTCTGCCATCCTCTTATTGTCACCGCTGGTTCCTCGACTCCTCGCCTGGCGCGACCAACCTACTGTCTGCTCCTCACGGTACCACTGCACACGATTGAACTGTCTGGTGTGTGTGCATCAAGCAGACGCTAGAGACTCTCCTGCTTTCTGTTTGGGCGTGGCTCGCAGAAGCTTTTTGGACTGATCCTGTGCCTCGGGAGGCCTCAAGCTAAGAGGGTGACCTTTCTAGTTGTTACACTCAATGGCCATTACAAACTTCTTCTTGTCTGTGGTGCTGCATCTGGGTTCTCACCACACCTGGGACAGTAGGAGTCAACAGCCATTTAAAATATGGCGTAACAGAACACACCAGTAATACATGAAAACAATCCTCCATCCACGTGTCATGATGCATTTAACGGCCTTATAGACCACCACCGTCTACAACCCTGCCTCCATTAAATGGTACATTATTGCAACCTCCTCCAGTTTTTCCTGGGGTGTAATTCCCCTAGGTGGATTTGTCGGTCCTCTTCCTCCTTTTTCCACTGATTGTCCCCTCGCCATACATATTTGACAGTGCATATCTTTTGAGCAGAAAAAGCTTAGGGAGAGTAAGGTGACTCTGTACCTACCTGACATTTTAGGCTTTCATTCATTGAAAGGGCATCGATTAAGGATACAGTTTGAGGGATTCAAATGAAGGTCAAAAAAGCCCACCAAACCCATTTTCCCCTGGTATTTAATAGTAGAAATTCAGCAATACTCGGTTGGTGGGTTTTGTCGCTTTTGGTAGCACATGAGCCTATGAGAGCAGTCCTGCATTTCTGTTGTACTCAAATACATCAATGACCTCAGGAACACAAATGTCTTTAGTAGAGGCCAGATGCTGTGAAGCCTCCAACAGCTTGATGATGGCCGAGAACGCAGGTCGGTCTTTGAAACTCCACATCCAACAATACTTCATCAGATCGTACCTAGAAGAAATTTCAAACACATCTGTGTTAAAGGAGTTGTTTGACCTTTTCATAGATAACCTTCGTAGCCGATGACACTCATGTCTGAAGTTAGAAACTACTGCAAGCAGCTGGTTAACTTTGCATAAAGACAGGCAGCCTGGTTCAGTTCAAAGGTAACTAAATTCGCCCACCACCATCTTATGAGTTTCCCACTTTGGTTTTTGTAGCCTACAGATTAAACAAATGAGAGTGTGTTAATCAGTGAGTTTTAGATGTACTATTAGGTGGATTTTTTTTTAACCTTTGGAAAGAGATCAGTCTAGTTGCCCCCCCCCCCTGCTTCTAGTCTTTGCACTTAGCTATGCTAACCAGCTGGAGCCAGCTTCATATACAGATGTGACAGTGGTGTCAATCTCATCTAAATCTCTACAGCAAAATCTTGTTTTCCAAAATGCCTTAAGCGATATACTCCTGTATATTAAGTGACTCTTTGCTGTAAAAGCTCAAGAGTATTTAAATGAAAATGCAACTTTCATGAGTATAAGTTTACTCAGTTGCTAACGCTACACCAATTGACAGTATATTACTCCATGAGTGTGTCTCAAATTGCATACTTCCTTTAGTACACTATATTCTTGCATGGTGCACTAATTTCAGTAGGGTAGTGTGCTGCCGTTTTGCACCTACCGGAAGTAATGAACCACCTGTTGTTCTTCGTTGTCTTCTTTTTAAATTGTGAATTGCAAACAAATAGTGGATTATTATCGCCAACATTTGACTGTTATCTTCGCCCACACATAAAGCAAACTTACACCACAACATCAATGCTGACTAAAATGTGCATCAAAACTATAGGAGCAAGTTAGCTAGCTAGCGAATACTAACATTAGCTAGCCATGTCAAAAGTTGACAAGTTTGCTACATCACAAAGATGGCGGCTGTCAAGGGCTTGAAGTGTCCATCATTCCACTCTCAACTTTAAAGTGTTTTAAGTGTGTCAGAAGTACACTGCATTTTTCTGTACCATGAAGTGTGAACACACTTAGTGCACTTGTGTACTCAAAACATTAAGTGTTTACTTACAAAGGTCCTCCACAGTTCTCTGGTCTCTTCATTCGATAAGACCCCTGTAGCTTTGGAAGCACAGACAGAGGCTCCAGATCAGGGTACGGAGGAGAGCCTGGGATAAAAACAAAGAAGAAAAGTATTCTTTAAGAAATATATTTTTATTATGGTAGTAAAATGTGATGCTGAGGATATGTCAGTACTGCAGTAGAAGTTGTTAAATTAAAAGATGCTAATGTGGATATGAAAAGACACAAATACTGATTGCTTAAAGAGACAGTTCACATCAAAATAAAAATTAGGCCACATATTTTTCCTCTTACCCATAATAAATCTAGATTGTTTTGGTGTGAGCTCTTTTTTTCAAATATACTGGAACTAGGTGGCGCTTGGCCTGTGATGCTCAAAGCACCAAAAACAAAAAATACATTTGAAAAACTCTACAGCAATGTGGCTTTCCAGAAAGCATGGCCCAGTGGTGATAATACACAGTCATTGTTGTGAGTAGATTTATGTAGGAACTATTCTGCTCTATGAAACTATATCCACCAACTTTGACACCCACAGAGGGAAGTGTGCATCTACTCAGTACCACTGAGCTAGCTTAAGTTTCAGGTCAGCCAAGGAGGATGCCTTAAATGCCTTGCATCAATGAGTAGATGCTAACTTCCTTCTGCGCGGATTGCATGTTTACATTAAGTAGCACACACTGTTACCTGTAGCTACATGCTAACATCAGAGAAATGTTATCTTTGAAAGTAGAAAGTGCATCTACAGGCTACTCTGTTACAGTCATTCACCAGCAGCAAGTGTACTGCTACTCTGTGCTAACATCAGGGAAACTTGTAATCTTGGTTGATGATGTAGTTAATTTCTCCACGATTCACATCATATTCCTGCAGGAACATGTTGTATAAAGCCTGCATTTCCTGCATCACTAAGCTAAACGTTACAGCTCAGCCAAGTTGGAAGCCATTAATGTTAACATCAGATGCACGCTTCCTGCTACTAATGATGGGCAAGATCAAGGCTTGTGCTTGTGAAAGAGTGAGATGTAAACATTAACGGCTTCCTACTCGGCTGAGCTGTAACATTAGCTAGCTCAGTGGTGCTAGGTGAGCTAGCAGTAGATGCACACCTCCTTCGGTACAGTGATATGGTTGGTGGGTGAAAATTGGTAGAAAGAAAATAGTTCCCGCATCAAACTGCTCACAACAAGGTCTGTGGATTATCTTTCGTTGACGGGTAATGATTTCTGGAAAGAGACATTACTGTTGAATTTTTCAAATGTATGTTTTGGCACTTTAAGCACCAAAAGCTGAGTGCCATCTAGTTCCATTATACTGGAGAGATGGCAGACATCTCCACGGCCAATATCTCCAACACTCAGCAACTCACACCAAAACTATCTATATTGGTAAATAGCACTACAGGTAAGAGGAAAAATATGTACTTTTGATTTTGGGGTGAAGTGTCCCTTTAAAGAATGGACTTGATAATGGAACATGCAGCCCTACCTAAGGTGATCAGTTCATACAGTAAGATTCCAAATGACCACCTACAAAAAAGAGAATATGTTAACAAATGTTTTGACTCATAATAATTCTGGTTGCTTTGTGTGTTTCGCTTCCTTAGCCATAACTCTGCCCTTACACGTCGCTCCTGTCAATACTGAGCTGCATCATGATCCTCTCTGGAGCCTGCCATTTGAGAGGCACCTCTGCTGCCCTCTCCCTAATTGGTGGATCCGATCTGCGTCCTCCAAATGCCATGCCCAGGCCAGACACCCGGGCTGAGAGGCCTGGGCCAATTAAGATGTTCCTGGCAGCAACATCACCATGCACCAGCCTGTGCTGGGACATCAGATAATCCTAAGGGAGGGGCCAATTACGGCCAAACATATCAGTCATTGGTTGAGATGTTCATTCAAAATTCAAGAGGAACATGGGGGAAATTGGTATCTGGATCATGACCTGCGAGCAAGATATCTAAACATAGCTCATTTTAGTTGTTTGTTTGGAATAATTAGTGTACAAAAAGTGACTCACCAGGCCAGCTGCAACCTGCTTTGCCACCAGAAACACTGACCTCTCAGAGAAGTTCAGCAATGGATCCACAGTATTGGAATTCTTCTAGAGGGAAGATAGTTTGTCATAGTGTTCAGTTTAGGACTTGGAGATTGCATGTATGACCATTTCAGGTTTAAACCAAAGCTGTGTACCACCGTTACATTTCTGAGTGTCCAGAGGAAGTGAAGGAGGTTTCCTGGGCTGTAGGCATCTAAGACCAGATACATGGGTAGACGCTTGGTCTGACAGTACAACATTCGCACCACGTTCTCATGTTTACACACTGTGGCGTGGAACAGGACCCAGTCCACAAACTCCTTAGCTTCAGGCCGGTTGGGACCATCTATGAGGAGTTAGATTAATAACAAAGTTAGTAAGCAACCTTATTGATTATAATTACAATATACCGTATCTTAAAGGTTCTGGGTGTAACATTTTACATTTAATGCTTTTTTTTCTCCCCCTTGTTAAAGGGTTTTTTTGGGGAGTTTTTCCTTATCCGCTGCGAGGGTCCTAAGGACAGAGGAATGTTGTATGCTGTTAAGCCCTCTAAGGCAAATTGTGATTTGTGATATTGGGCTTTATAAAATAAAATTGATTGATTGATTGATTGAAGTTGATTTGTTTTTTGTTTTGTTTTTTGCCAATGAATAAGTAGATTGTTACCTAACTTAAAACCTGAGACCTTCCCTGACTTCCTCGGTTGCCCTTAACAGACTGTGGACTGATGCTATGTGAAGAACTCAGGGCAAATATTTCAGGAAATTCCAAAAGATGTGATTAACCTTAACCAAGAAATCCCTTTCTGGCAGAAAGCCCTCAATGCAAACTTCTCCCAACGGTGTGCTACATCTCGCTTCAGCCCCACTACAACGCCACAGTGTGCAACAGTAGCTAACGTTAGCTTAGATATGGAGTTTGCTAACATCAACAGACTACTGGCAGCCACCACATCAGAGTCCATACATGCTGTGTTAACGTATACACTTTACTGTGGCAGCCACTTGATGGACTTTCGTGCACAGGTTTTTTCTGGCTGAATTTGAGCTGTTACAACCGCTAACTAAAGGTCCGTCTCCAGAGCTGCTGTCTGCTCTCCTCCAGGCTAAGTAATCCCTGAGCGGTGGGGAGTGAAACAGAAGGACAACAGGGCATACTAGCTAATTCTTGTCTCATTAGTGCTAGTCATCAAATTAAGTGCCCCATATCATGATTGCAATGCCCACCACGTTGTGAAAAAAAGTCCAATTTTAGCTAGTTAATGTTTGCTAACGTTGGCTTGCTTCATAATGGCTACAAGTTGCTAGCTAGCAAAAGTAGCAAAATACTGTATTATGTAGATGATGTTAGCTAATCCATCCAGAATCCCAAATTACAAATTACTTTATTAGCAACAAAGCAGCCAAACCCAGAGTCACACAGCATGGCTAATATACAGCTAACTGGATGGACAACAAGCTGGCTGCAGCCCAAGCTAAGGTTAGCCATCTAGCTGCTACTTTACATGGAAATGCCATAGAGTGCTCCACGAATGAATCCAAAAACCTAGGGATGAGTTAGCATTTTAGCACTCCTGGTTCCTTAATCTCGAAGTCAATGGGTTTTAAAATAGGTTTCCTATTAGATGCCTGACATGAGGGCTTAAGAGACTTTCACATTTTGTCCTACGACATAAAATACATCAGTAAATACTCCACTTGTGAATTTAAAAGCTTTATGTTTCTTAAAAAAGGCAGTTGCTAACAAGTGGCTAAATGAAACGACAGAATGTCATCACGCCAAACCTGGCTTTACACACTCGAGTCATGCAGCCGTGGTGTAGTTTGTTTATAGCCTAACGTTAGCTTTTTACCTCTGGCGATTGAATTTAGGCTTCAAAAATTATAAAATTGGTGTTCATTTGTGTAGATTATCTTGCTGAACAAAACTTTTAACTATCAGAAACATTTGTTTGCCATGGAGCTTATTTTCTACGATAATCCAAAAAGTCTTCATGTCTTAAATTTTTCTTTAAAAAAAGTTTGCTAATAAGTAGTTAAATGAGACTATAGAACATCATCACGCCGAATATGACTTTAAAGCTTTGTTTTGGTGGCCTAATGTCGCTTTTTAATTCTGGCAATTGCATTTACGCTTCTGTGTAGATTTTGTTGCTAAACAAAACATTTCACTATCTTAAATTTTTGTATGCCACGGTACTTATTTTCTACAATAATACAAATGTGAATGAAATAATCCAATAGGCTCTTGGACAAGGGAACCAAAATGATGCTAAATTCCGCGTCGGCCAACAAAAAAACCCATCATCCCTCGAGTACTCTATTGGTTGCTTTGTAATGTTAGCTAAGAAAGTTATTTGCAAATGGCAAGTTAGTTAGTGTCATGGAGCCAGTGGTCCAAATGAAATACAGGTACATTACAGTTAGCAACAGTTTACTAAATATGATTGTAATGTATTTTCCAGTATTCTATCAACATGATAACGACCAGCCTTAGTGTTAGTTCGCTCGCAGCCAGAGAGAGGTGTCCCTAAAGACAAGGATTTTCTGAAGTTACATGCAGAACCTTTATGTCTATCTTGCCCTTCTCTCTCTGTGATCTCTCCACATATTTTCAACTGTTATTGTACACAAAAGGCTCGGCTCATCTTGGCCTTATGACAGATTCATGCTGTACCTCGGAGAGACTTCACCACCACAGCAGAGGAGGCTCCGTCTCTCTTCTTCAGCAGACCTTTACAAATGGGGCCATGGCGACCTGTCTGCCAAAACTCTAGTCCCTCTAGAGCACACTCTTCAGGGATCTCCCAGGGATACAAAGCTGCCTGGACCTTTGGAGTGCTCACAGCAGCTGTAGCCGGGGATACACTTTGCTGGCCTGTTAAAAAACACAAGAGTAGATGCAGGTTTACTGAGAGCCAGAGATATATTAGCACCTGGCGTTGCTCTCAGTGCTGATGAAAAAGGAAAGATTTTTATAGTATTTTTCAGCAGTTTTATACAGAGGATATACAGTTATTGCAGATTCATACCATTTGTTAAATGAGCTGAGGTGCTCTGTCGTCTCTGTTTGTTCTTATGGAGACTGCATAAAATCAAAGCAACTCCTAAAAGTGTGCTCAGAGCCAACAGAGAAGGGATGATGATTACAGCGAGTGGACCCGCCGACTCCTCATCTGAACAAGAAGGAAAAGAAGAAGCAGATTCAGAATAAGAAAGAGCCGAGGAGAGGAGCACGCAATAACATGAGTCTGCAACGCAATGAGTGGCATGTGTGCGACTCACTGCACATGGGGAGCGAGGTGTCGTTGCTGCAGTCACGAGGAGCAGCTGACATTTCTCACATGTGAGGGAAATTGCAGATCATATCAACAGATGAAATCCAAAACTCTCAGAAGTTAATTCCTGTGTAGGAAGTAAAACTATGATGAAACTGAAAATTGGAAAATCAAGCAAAGCATGAAGTTTAATTGCTACTTTGAAGTTTTCCTACCTGACACCTGATGCCACAGCGTTCCCACCAACACATATTTACAGCCTTATGATGTTGAGATTAACAGCAGCTGAAAAACCACAATATCAGGGCTGCTATCAGCTGGTTCTGGTCTGCCTGCCAGGGCGCTGACCGAGGAGGCGAGTTTGAAAGTTGACTGAATGTTAAACATTAACAAATCACCAGAAATGATAACACTAACAGGTGTTGTGCTCACACTCGCTGCTGCTTTAATACTTAACTGATTAAACTGGGAATAAAAGAATACTTCAACTGCAAAATGACTATCTGTAAATCAATTATTCACCATGTGTTACCTTGAGAAAATGTTTTTTTTTTTTCCCTGTATGCCTCCATGGTGAACGGAGAATCCAAAAAGGGCGAACATTATTAGAAGTGAAGTATAATCCAGAGGTGGGACCAACTCACTGTTTGCAAGTCACAAGTCTTTACACCGAAGTCCCAAATCACATTCCAAGGATGTGGAAGTTAAATCAAAAAAGATAAAACAAACAATAAAAACAAAGAAACACATTTGTAAATGTATCTTAAACTTTTTTTCATAGTAGTCATGGGTGGATTACGTGACAGTGGGCCCCCAGGGTGCACACATGCACAAGGCCAAACCACCTCTTCCACAGAGGAGCAAGAGCCATGAACTTTGAGCTGATTTTTCCTCTTTTTGTTGTTGTGTGTCTTTGTAGTTTTCAGCATCTTTTTGTGGTTTTGTGTCTCTGTGGTAATTTTGTGTCTTATTGAGGTCACTTTGTGTCTCTTAGGGATATATTTGTCTTTTTTGGGCCATTTTGTTTCTCATTGTAGCTGTTGTGTCTCTGAGTTGTTCCTTGGCATCCCTTTGTAGCCATTTGTGTCTATTTTATGTCATTTGGTTCTCTTATGTTTACATTTGTGTCTTTTTTGGCCATTTTGTCTCTCCTTCCAGATATTTTGTGTCTCTTTGTAGTACCCTGGCATCTCTTTGTGTTGTTTTTGGTCTCTTTTAGGTCATTTAGTTTCTCTTTGTAGTTGCTTTGTGTGTCTTTCAAATTCCTTTTGCGTGTTTTGTTGTCATTTTGTGCATGTTTAAAGGTCAGTTTGTGTCTAATTAATTAATAATTTTGTGTCCTTGTGGGTGCTTTATGTTTCTTTTCAATCATTTTGTATCTCTTTAAAATCATTTTGTTTCTCTTGGGGGTATATTTGTGGTTGTTTTGTGTCTCTTTATAGTTGCTTGGCATCACTATGTAGTTGTTTTGTGGCTCTTTTAAATCATTTTGTTTCTCTTGGGGGTCTATCAGTGTCTTTTTAATCATTTTTTATGTCTTTGTAGTTGTTTTGTGTGTATTTGTAGTTCCTTTGCATGTTTTGTTGTCAGTTTGTGTGTCTGTTGTTATTTTGTGTGTCCTTGTGGTTGATTTGTGTTTCTTCTTATATAGTTTTGTGTCTCTTCGAGGGCATGTTTTTTTCTCCTAGGGTTAAATTTGTGTCTTCTTTGGCCATTTTTTTCTCTTTATAGTTGTTTTGTGTCTTTGTTGTAACTTGGCATCTCTTTGTAGTCATTTTGTGTCTCTTTGAGGTCATTGTCTGTCTTAGTGGTGTATTTGTGTCTTTTTTTTGGCTGCTTTGATTCTCTTTGTAGTTGTTTTGTCTCTTTGGAGTTCCTTGGCATCTCTTTGTAGTCATGTTGTGCCCTCTTTGGTCATTTTTTTGTCTTTATCATTGTTTTGTGCCTATTTGTAGTTCCTTTGCATGTTCTGTGCTTGTTTAATGGTCAGTTTGTGTCTCTTTGTTGTAATTTTGCGTGTCTTTGTGGTTGTTTTTTGTCTCAATTTCATAATTTTGTGTATCTTTTAGATCATTTTGTTTGTCTATAGGTTTATATTTGTGTCTTTTGGGCAGTTTGTTTCTCTTTGTAGTTCTTTTGTCTCTTTGTTTTCCCTTGGCATCTCTGAAGTTGTTTTGTGTCTTATTGAGGTCATTTTGTTTGTCTTAGGGGTATATTTGTATCTTTTTTTAGTCATTTCACTTCTATTTATAGCTGTTTTGTGTATCTTTGGAGTTCCTTTGCATGTTTTGTTGTTGTTTGTGCTTATTTAAAGGTCAGTTTGTGTCTCTTAAGGGTATATTTGTGTCCTTTTTGGTCATTTTGTTTCTCTTTATAGTTGTTGTGTGTCTCTGTGTAGTTGTTTTGCACGTGTTGTCATTATGTGCTTGTTTACAGGCCAGTTTGTGTCTCTCTGTGGTAATTTTGTGTGTCCTTGCGGTTGTTTTCTGTTTCTTTGAGGTCATTTTGTTTCTCTGCTGCATACATCTGTGTGCTTTTTGGCCATTTTCTTTGTTCTTTATAATTGTTGTGTGTCTTTGTAGTTCCTTGGCATCTCTTTGTAGTCATTTTCTGTTTCTGTTAAGTAATTTTGTTTCTCTTTGTGGTAATTTAGTATGTCCTTGTGTTTGTTCTGTGTTTATTTTTAATCGTTTTGTGTGTCTTTGAGGTCACTTTGTGTCTCATTGGGGTATATTTGTGTCCTTTTTGGTTATTTTGTTTCTCTTTGTAGTTGTTTTGCATGTGTTGTTGTCAATATGTGCTTGTTTACAGGCCAGTTTGTGTCTCTTTGTGGTAATTTAGTGTGTCTTTGTGGTTATTTTGTGTCTCTGTTTAATCATTTTGTATTTTTTGAGGTAATTTTGTTTCTTTAAGGGATATATTTGTGTGTTTTTTGACCATTTTATTTCTGTTTATAGTTGTTTTGTGTATCTTTTTAGTTCTTTTGCATGTTTTGTTGTTGTTTTGTGCTTCTTTAAAGGTCAGTTTGTGTGTCTTTGAGATCTGTTTGTGTCCTTTTTTTTGGTCATTTTGTATTTCTTTACAGTTCCTTAGAGGGTGGTAATAGTTTAGGAGGCAGCAATATCTCAGTCCATAGGGACTTGGCTTGGTAACTGGAGGGTCGCTGGTTCAAGACCCCATATGAATCGAGCATGGAGTGTGGACTGGCAGCTGGAGAGCTGCCAGTTTGCCTCCTGGGCAATGCCGAGGTGGCCTTGAGCAAGGCACCGAACCCTGTCCATCTCCATTTAATGCATGTGTTGGTCTTGTTTGTGCATGTGTGTGTATTTGAGGCCATGTGTGTATGACAACAGAGTGAAAGATAATGAATTTCCCCTTGGGGATTAATAAAGTATTTTTTGAGTTTCTTTATGGTATTACTTTGAGTGACATTTTGCAGATGAAGGCCAGGGGGGCCCTGACACTTTGGACCCCTGGGCATGTGCCCGGGGGGCCCGTTTAGTTCTCTATCCATGATGACAGTGGCACCAGTGTGGCTGAAGGGTTTTTGGACAGAGGTGTCAGCCTCTGACTGCAACAACCACAAGAGGGCAGAGTTGCGCAAAAAATGGCCTCCAACAAGTAGCCGAGTGCTCAGTCCTGAGAGCAAGAGTGAGTCTCAAAAAGGCTTCCAGGGACCTAAGCTACACAATAAAACCCAGGAATGACTAAAAGTTTCAGCCCACTGTGTAAAGAACACGTTGGACACATCTCAGACAGACTGTGGGTCGACTATCACGAACTTACAATAAACATTTCCCACGTGAAAATATGTGTCCCAGAGCGGGAGGAGCTCCGCCTCTCTAAACACACCATGGAAACAAAATCCAGCGCTTCCCAATCACAGAAGCCCCGCCCCCTGCCAGTCCCTATTGGCTCACAGGAGAGGCTGTAGGACCCTCCCCTGACCTCTGATTGGCCGGGACACCCTGCAATCAGGAAAAGAACACGGAAAAAGATCAAAAAAAGTTATGGAGTGAAGCCCTAATCGGATCAGGTCTGTTGCATGCTGCTGCGTAGTTTTTAGTAGAAACTAAATCCCCTCAGTGCCTCTGGAGAAGCGAGGAGGAGAGGAGAGCGCGTAACGGACATCACGAAGCAGGGTTTGGGTGTGGAGAGGAGCAGATAACCGCCCGGTTCACAGCAGAGCCAGGTATGTTTTTCCGTTTCCAAGGACTGCCTTTGCTGATGTCACCGCGGAGGAGGGCAGGAGAGGAGGACAGGTGCGCACAGTAAAGTTGACTCTCCGTGAGGCTCGGACGAGGAGCTGTCACTGAGCCGAGGATTGCGCAAAAAAACGTTTTAGAAATCAGTTTCTGAAGTTTTTCTGCATTTACTCTTTAAAGAAGTTTTCCCTCCTGGGTGGTGTTATCAGTCTGAAGTGGAATATATCGCCTCTCCACGCGTTTGGAGCTGACAGGCTCTCCGGTGCGCACGAACTGCGGGGCTCACAGGATCCCGTCCTGCTGTGTGACATCGTGGTTTAACTGTGGAGGAAGCTGCTGCTGTTCTTTAAGTGCACATCAGCGTGAACTGGGGTGTGGGATCGAGACGCCCCAGCATCAGAAGCAGCACTTTCCGCTTCAATGCGACACTGACGCAGCTGATCTCGCATCCCAGTCGCAGACAGGTGATGCTCGAGTAAATTCAATGGGAGGATCGCTCATCGGCAGAGGGAGTTTGATTTAAAACACAGACTTGTTCACTCTGGGATGGAATACAACACCAGGAATCAGCCCCAACTTCTTTAATCTGCGATGATTTTCCCATGCGTCATTGCGTCTTAGGAGCAGAAGCGGATCTTGTGTTGAAGGACAATCGTTCTTGGACTTCGCCTCCAGGTTCACGAGAGCTACACCAACAATGTCCAAGACACTGAAGAAGAAGAAGCACTGGTCCTCTAAAGTGCAGGAGTGCACCCTGTCGTGGGGGGGATCCGGGGAGTTGGTCACGGTGGTTGAGGTGCGAGGCGGCGCGGAGCTGGGAGAGTTCCCCCACCTCGGACACATAGTTTCGGAGGCGATGGTTTGCCACGCCGGGAGGTTTCCCTGCAGCGGGGACGTGCTGCTGGAGGTGAACGGCACTCCGGTGAGCGGACTCACCAACCGAGACACACTGGCTGTCATCCGCCACTTTCGGGAGCCCATCCGCCTGAAGACTGTGAAACCAGGTGTGTATTTGAATCACAATAGACCCCACACACACACACCTTTAACTCCCCACCAAACCTGTCAGGTGTGTGAGGTGCTGTAGCTCAGGAAAGGCGAGACAAGTATCATGAATAAATAAGAGGGACTTGTGGGTACATGGTCACAGCTGTGCCCCTGTCGATGGATCAGGTGTGTGTGCAGTCTTAGCTCCTCCACAGGTTAATTGTGTGTTCTCAGCTGGTTTAAGCACATCTGAATTGTCCACCTGCACGCCTCCTGCACATCCATGTGAGGACAACATATATCTTCATGCTGCTGTGGCACAAACCCGCCAAACGACATAAGTGGGAGACCTGCTGTGTGTAGCTACACATGCCTGTCCATAGTGCCCAGATCTGCATGCACCTGCAGCCCTCGTCCTCTTTGTCATCTTTGCATCCAAGTGTTGCCTCTTCTCTCGGCTTGGCCACACACACACACACACATGCATGCATGAATGAGCAACACAGCTTTAATGTCATTGCAAATGTGTGTGTGTGTGTGTGTGTGAGCTCAGCTAAAAGCTTATTGATTGGATTTATGCGTCTGTTATTACCTGACTTACTGGCAATTAGTTTGTGCTTCTTTATGGCTCACAGACTAATGAGTGTGTTAAATGTGCCAAAACATACTGACAGTCAAACTCTACCAGTCAAGTGGGACAATAGTGTGTGTGTGTGTTTGTATGGATGGGTGGATTTGATGGAGGCGCTGCTGAGTGTGGCGCTTTGCAAACACTTAGCCGGGATTTGTTAATGGCTGCCTTGCCAGCTTAGACCGTGTCGGCCTGCTTGCAGCATGGAGGTGAGCCCAAGTCTAATTGAATCAATTAGGCCCATATCCTTAAATCCCCACGATGCTGAGCTGGCCAGGCGACGCAGTTTGACACCATGACTCGCAGGTGTTTTGGCTTCATTATGGTATTAGTGAAGCACATTGTGTTTGTTAAAAGTGCATTTTCTCAGCTCAGCATTAACTCTGCATGCGTATTAACATTTCTCTGTTATGTTATGTTATGTTAGGTGTATGTTAAGTGGTGCCCGAGCCACACTTTGACATGTGCAGGCTGCTTACCATAGGCTCCTCTGTTTCCCCTCAGGGCCCTCACTGTGTGTTTATATCTCTGTCCCCTTTCTCATGATTAATTCAAGCGTCATCCATCATTGATGGCTGCTCCGTGCCAAGATGAGGTGGCTTAGATGCTGGCCAACTGGTCTGGATATAAACTTGTATTCTAGTGAGATTGCAAAGCAGAGCTGCAACGATTAGTTGATTATAGTCATTCAACAGAAAATTAATTGGAAACTGTTTTGCTGATAGTTTTTAAGATAAGAGATAAGATACACCTTTATTGATCCCACAATTGAGAAATTCCAGTGTTACAGCAGTCAAGGGGAAAGAGTCAGATTAAAGATTTCAAAATTTAAAAACGTAAGACAAACTAGGCATGCAAAAAGAGTACAAAAATACAAGAAACGGCAATAAATAATAATAATAATGAGCAGTGAATAAAAAGTGAGCAATGGATTAAAGTGAACATATTTAGTGCAAATTGAATATTGTATGTGCAAATAAACAACAACAACATGGGGGACAGTTATGCTTATTATGGTGTCCATAAGGTGTCCATAGTTTTTGCAACTTTTTTAGCAAAAAAGCCAAAAAATTTCCTGGTTCCATGCTTCTTAAATGGGAGAATTTAACACCTCTCTATGCCATAAATGAAAATTGGGATACACAATGTTAAATTTTTTGGCAATATCTGATATGCCAATATGTAGAAACTCATTTCACAGACAACCAATACCGATATCAATATATCCACTTTTTTCCCTACCTAATTTTAGTGATCATCAAGTCTTTTTTGTAGTGGAATTAACATCTTGTTATGCATGTATACTCTTATCATGAGGGCCCACCAGCAGATGAGACATGAAATACAACACTTGTCAATGTATGAAATATTTATTCATTGTGCAAAATAAGAACAAGCATGTTGGACGATTGTGAAAGTTCATTTTAAAGCTGATATTGGCCCAAACAGATGATGTGCCGATATCATCATGCATCCCTGATTGTCGCAAAGGTACTAGATGTCCAAATGAGTATTCCAGTGCTTCGTTTTTTGTTTTGTTTTTTACATCGGTGAACTGGTGGGGGAAGCTGAAAAGAGGTGGTCAGTGTCGGACACGCCGTTGTCCTCAATGCAGCAATTAAATTGGCAGCATGACGAGTCAAAGGAACATGTGAGACTAATTGCAGATGGTTGTCCGAGTAGTGAAGCACTTGCTTTGCGTCTAGTGATGCCGCCTGACCGCTGACGTTTCTACTGTAGTTACTAGTAACTTACTCAGAGTGCTAAGTCCTGCTAAAGTCAGGTTGAGTTCTGGTGGGTGATTAGTGTGTATGAATAAGACCCCCTACCCCTTGGATCCCGTCACTGCCTGTCAAAGCTTTGAATATTCTTGGGTAATTATCACTAAAGCTTGGAAGCCCCAAAAGTGGTATTCAGGACAGCCCTCCTTAAAGAAGGATATATCGATTAAGGGAGACGATAACGAGTGGATTAACCGATAATGAAAATAAACATTAGCTGCAGCTCTACTGCAAAGTAGAGAGTGACGACAGATGGCAAGACTGACTCGTGAAGGTTAAGACTTGTCACAACAGTGTTGTATGTGTACCATGTTAAAAAGTTACATCAGCCTGAAAGGAGCTTTTACATTATTTCAGTTTGTCTCCCTGCTGGATTTCTCCCCTCTCCCTCCGTGCTGTCTAGTTTGTCTTTACTTTATCTTCTCCTCTCAGCCGATTATGCCTTATCATCACATTTTTCCATTCCCACTCGTCTCTGGTATTTTCTCTCCTTTGCTACATTATTCTATATTTCACTCTCAATCTAACTTTTGCTTCACCCTTCCTCCGACCCTATTCCATCACCAGAGCACTGCTTATTTTTTCTTTTCTTTCTCTGGCCACTCAGTCCTGTGAGTAAATATGAAATATTTCGTTTAAGAATCTCACTTCCTTTAGTGGTTCTCACTCACCTGCCAGGACAATCACACCTGCAGCTCCTAAATCAAACATGGTTTTGCGCCTTGGCTACAGCTGCTGCCCGACACTTCCCCTGCACAGTCAGGACAGAAAACAGAAGTTTGCCTGGAGTGGTCCTCTGGCTCCGAACCAGCCGATGCACTCAGTATGCAGCTCCCATCCAGAGAGAGGAGCAAGGCAATAGGCAGTAACCTTGAGGGGGCGATTGGGTATAGAGGCGTAGTGATACAGATACCTTATTGCAGCTTAGAGACTTGTGAGTGGGCAGCTCATTGATTAATGCTGTAAACAGACTTAAATCTGCTTGTTTTTGCCTCATGGAGCTTAATGGATGGACCATTTAGCTCTCAGGTCCTGCAGCAACCTTGATTCACAAATCAGGTCTGTAATGGAAACTGGGAAAAGGGTTTTCAAAACCTTCTACCCTCTCTTAAAAAGCCTGGAAGATAAATCATGATAATGATATACTGAGATAACAATGGTTCACATTTTCAGGGCTTCTCCAGAGATTACATCTGAACACAGTATATGAATACATATCTGAAGGCCAAGATACAGACGGTGTCGTGCAGGTTCACACGTAAGGCGGTTCAGAGTTCAGTTCACACAGATTAAAATAACTAGTTCACGTTCATAGTTCACAATTTGAATTTTTGAACTTCACAGTCCCAAAACATGAACTAGTTTACAATTAATTCCTCCGTTTTGTTTTGTAGCTGTGCAATGATTTTTAACCTTTAACTTACTGTGTACCCTCCTGGTCACAAGCAGCATCTACAATAACTAAGCTTCTTATGATGATATACAATCAAGCAATTAAACTTGGCATGGCACATCTTTGCCATGTTCTTCAGAAACTAAATACGTTAAGTTTTGATAATTTCATTAACTCATCCATAAATGCGTAATGTACATCATCAGGCTCCCCAGGTGCTCAGTGACCTTGTGGTTCCAGTTACAGCTTCTGGCTCAGTGACACGTGGAGCAGCCAATGGGAACTGTAGGGTTCCCCTGTGTGAATCCTGACTTCTGTCTGTTGAGTTCTTTACCGACAGACCTTAAGCTGGATCCTGATTTAGATCACTTCAAACTCAAACTGAGACAGTTTTTGAAGATGACTCAGTTATGCAGTCATGACTAATTTGGTGCTTCCTCTTCTGTGGTGCTAATTATGTATCACAGACAAAAGCCAAAAATGCGGTGCGCCAAGAAATACTGGACACGTTCTACAATCAGGCTTCCACCTCACTATCTGTGTTGCCAATTTCCAATCTCCGAAATGTTTGTAAGCGTGGGTCAAAGTTTCTTCCGTCAAGTCTGTTATTATAGATCACAACTTTTCTGTGGGAGGTGGCGTACAGGCCTCGTTTTGTGCGTATGAGACCCAGAGTGTTGGGCTGAGTTGTGTTGGCATGCCAGGTGCCATAAAACACTAAGACCTTGTCACCTTGTCACCTTGTCACGACGTTTGGTCATGGACCTTCCATGTCCAGATAGGACGTGACCGGTATGCTGGCTGTGTTGGACGTTGTGTCAAGTTCTACCTTTTTCATATATTGCATTTTTTCAAAATACACTTCCATTTTCACAGGAAATTTATAATTTACATACAGTCTCTTTTGAAATAAACACAATACGATGGTACAACAACGCAAATTGACATTTTTCTTCCTCCAACAACTAACGCACGTGGTTAGGTTTAGGCAACAAAAGCACAAGGTTGGGTTTAGGAAAAAAAGAACAGGGTTTGGCTTTAGCATCTTAAAGTGTGCGAACACCACTCTCTTGGGTGAAAGTCCGTGTCTGTTGGACCCATCCACATCCACCACTCCTCTTGCCTGCCCCACTCAGACTTTTGCTGACTTAACATTCGTTCTTGTCCTGTCGCGTTTCCCTCTGATGCCGGCAAGTGCCATTCAACTATAAC